TGCAATTATGTTCAAGATTATTTGCTATAGCCCGGGCTTTAATATTAAATGATTGGAAGGGTGCCTGAGTTAAGCATCTGACTTTGGCTCAGGTCATGATCTCACAGCTGTGAGCCCCCACATCGGGCTCTGTGCCGACAGCTCAGAGCCTGGAATCCGCTTTGGATTCTGTGTCTCCTCTCTCTCTGCCTGTCCCTACTCATGTTCTGTCTCTCTCTCTCAAAAATGAATAAACATTAAAATGTGTGTGTGTGTGTGTGTGCGTGTTTGTGTAAATGATTGGAAACAACCCATATGTATATTAAGAGTAAACCATTTAAATAAATTATGTTATATTCACACAATGGAATAAAATGCCCCTGTAAATAAGAATGACACTCTGCAAGTATTAATGCACAAAGATCTCCATCATATTGTTAAGTGAGAAAGCAAGTAAGGACAGTGTGCTTTGCATGCCACCTTTCCTCTAAAAGGAGAGAGGGTATACAAATCTATATTCACAATTGTTCCTATTTGCAAAAAGAACCTCTAGAAGAATGCCCAAGAAACAAGAACAATGGTTGACTAGAATAAGGAGTGTTAACAGTGGGATTCTGAACAGATGGAGAACAAGGACACAAGAAAGACTTATCACCATATGCCTTTTCATATTCTTTAGTTTTCCAACCATGAAAATGGATTTTTAAGCAATTATATCACACTTGGGGTATTAGCCACTGTGGGAAGTCATTTAAAATTAGTAACTCCTTTACTTTTAATGTATTAACATACTCAAAAGTTAATTTTAAAAGTATCTCAGAAGTGTCATAATTGTATTGTGGTTATGCAAAAAAAATCTTTGTTCTTAGGAGACAAGTTATTTAGAGATGAAATTAGTATGTCTACAACTTTATCTCATAACTTTCTCTGTAGCAAAGAAAAATATCTGCACTTGCATCCATATGTGTGTATGAATGTGGAGATATAAAGCAAATGTGTCCCCTCAAAATACAATTTTTTGCCTGGGTGGCTCAGTCGGTTAAGCGACCGACTTCAGCTCAGATCATGATTTCCAGGTCTGTGGGTTCAAGCCCCGCCTCCGGCTCTGTACTGACAGCTCAGAGCCTGGAGCCTGCTTCCGATTCTGTGTCTCCCTCTCTCTCTCTCTCTGCCCCTCCCCTGTTCACACTCTGTCTCTCTCAAAAATAAATCAACATTAAAAAAAAAACTTTAATGATAAATCTATGCAAATGGTATGTGAGTAACAATAGACTTATTTGTGCAATTTTTTTTGTAGATTTAAAATTTTCCAAAGTAAACATTGGAAGGGAAAAAAAAATCTCAAAAAAGTCCTCAAAAGTTAAATAAAACATTTCCATTTAGTTTCCATAAACTCTTTGGACTTGTTTTCAAAGTTCTCAAATTATCCATCCAGGCTTCTTACGCCACTTGACCAAAACGTACTTTGAATCACATCTCAAAATTTACTTTCTCAAGATGTCTTTTTTGAATTTTCCAAAATAATATGTCTCTTACCACTTTGAATACCTGTAGTTCTTTTAGTTCTATTGAGATACATCATATTACATTTTGCTACAATCATTGTGTTTTTATTATAGGAAATAACAGAGATGATAAAGCATAATAGGTGTGTATATTAGTATACTTAGCTGTTGTACACACATTGTCTATAACAATAACCATAGATTATGTTACTCCCTAAGAGCTTAATTGAAAGAAAAAAGAAGTGTCTCTCATGATTAAAAGGCAAGATTAATTTATGTGTAGCAGAAATGAATGAGATGGACAGTCATTAGGAGGGGAGAGGCTACCAGCTCTCTCTTGACCAAGCTTCTCCCTCTGTCTGCAGCTCCAACCACCCTTAACTCCTTCAGGTCTCAGTCCAGGAGTACATCTTGAGGAAAGCCTTCTGAATCTCCCTGCCGGGGCGAAGACCCATCGGGACCTCTTGTTAGCCCTTAGCACATTATATTTAACATTAGTATGTTTCATGGACTATCTGTGTCCATTACAGACTGCAGGCTCCAGGAAGGAAGGGACTGTTGATGTTTCTGTTCACCAGTGTCACCCCAATATCTAGCACAGTGTCTGAAATATAGTAGACCCTAGTATTTTTTTTAAAAATTTTAAATGTTTTATTTCTGAGAGAGAGAGAGAGAGAGAGAGAGAGAGAGTGAGCGAGCAGGGGAGGGTCAGAGTGGGAGAGACACACAGAATCCGAAGCAGGCTCCAGGCCCCGAGCTGTCAGCACAGAGCCGGGAGCAGGGCTTGAACTCACAAACTGTGAGATCATGACCTGAGCCGAAGCCAGATGCCCAACCAACTGAGCCACCCAGGTGTCCCCCACCCAGTATATTTTTAATGAATTTTTAAAAAATGTCCCTTTAGAGGAAGAGGGGGAGAGTTGATGGGCCTTAGAAGAAAAAAAGGGGAGAGGGGCAAAAAAGGAGCATCCAAGCATTTTCAAAGGGAAAAAGAGGCTAAAAATCTGGACTCTTACTTCTACAATCAATATATCCCACTTACACTTACATACATACATACACACACGCGTGTACCTAATTCTGCCCTTTCCTACCAATAACTCTTACATTTTTAGAAGTGGGAAAGGCCTCTTTTTGCTTTCACTAATTTTTGTCTTTCCAGAAGTTTCTAATTTCCCTGAATGACCCATCAGGATGACGGCTCCAGACTTCCCAAGATCCTACCCAGCCCCTCAACTTTTCTAAGAGAAAGCGGCTTTAAGTTTCCCCGACAAAAAAAAATTGTTTTCTTTCTCCAAAAAGTTACATGCTCAGACGTGGCTATTTCCCTAAGGTAACAGAGACGAATTTTGGCTTCAACGAGTCACTGAATAATGACTGGTGATGTCCATTTTCAGTCTACGTCGCAGCCTGGCACAAACGCCACTGAGAGGATAATGGGACCTTTTCAATAATCCGCTTCCCCCGTAGGAGTTTTACGCTGGGGAGTACTTAAGGTTTCCTTCCTTCCTTCCTCCCTCCATTCCTTCCTTCCTTCCTTTCCTTTCTTCTTTTTTTTTTAAGACAGCTTCCGCAAATCCCCTGAGCGACTTCCCGCGACCTTCGCGGGACCTACAACCGGCGGCGCTGCACCTGCCCCCACTCTCCGGCGGGAAGGCGCGCGCCCGGCCCGGCCGTTTTGGCGGCAGAGGTCACGTGGGCCCGCGGTGGCCAATGAGGGACGCCCACGGCGCGCGCGCGCGGCGGCCAGAAGCGGTCTCCCGCGCGGGCCCAGGCGCGCCTGGTTCGCTCCTAGGCGCTGACGCGAGCCGGTGCCCGGGAGACTGGCGCCCCGGATGCCCTGCCGGGTGCCTCCGATTACCCTACGGCATGGCGTTCTTGACGCCGCACTGACACCTCCGTGTCCCTTTTACACCGGCCCCTTCAGGCTGCACACCCCCCTTTCCTTCAGCGGTGTCCTAAACGCTTCAGCGTTAGAGAAACGCGCTGCTGGCTCCTGGGCCGGGGAAAGGGTGGAAAGGAAGGAGGCGGCTTGTGCCTGCTCCCACCTCACGCCGACTGATCCCTAGTCTCTTACTCTTTGGCGGTCCTTGAACGCACACCGGTGACCCGCCATACTAAACAACCTGTCACAAATAAGATTTCACATTCACAGTAAAGGGAGAGTTCTAGGCACGAAAATTAGGTTGTTGGCTGTTATTCTAGAAATCAAACCTAGTAGGTTCGTTAATTCACCCCCCTTCTGCTTTAGAGGTGAAACTAATTAGGAAAGCATTTCGGGTAAACGTGGCAACCGCCCACAGGGCACCTCAGAAGGCGCCTGAGGAGGAGGAATCTGTGAGGATAGAACGATACAGCTGAGTGTGAAAACATACTGGGAAAGGTTGACCACCAAATGTAAGTTCTAGAAAGGTGATAACGATTGCACACCTTTAGGAATATGCTGAAAGCCACTGGATTTTGCCCTTTAAAAGGGTGGACGTTATGGTGTACGGATTACATCTCAATTTACAAAACAAAATATATGTTCCTGAAGGTATTCCTAGGTGACAGACTCACAGGCTTTGAGAAACTATTGTTGACACCTGCACAAATCAAAGTTCGATATTTTAGTCAGTGTAGTTCTTCCTAGAAAACAGATACCGGGTCTGATTTGGTGGCAAGAGACTCTCAGCCTAAAATGTGCACCTTCTCAGTGGCATATAATTCTTTTAAAACTGGAGAATAGTTTGAGATTAGCTTTAATTATTCCTTTCAGGTGTCTAGCATATTCTTTAAAAAAATTTTTTTTAATGTTTATTTTTGAGAGACCGAGACAGAAACGGAGTGGGGGAGGGGCAGAGAGAGGGAGACACAGAATCTGAAACAGGCTCCAGACTCTGAGCTGTCAGCACAGAGCCGGCCGTGGGGCTCGAACTCACAAACAAGGAGATCATGACCTGAGCCGAATGTAGTAAAACACTTAACAGACTAAGCCACCCAGGCGCCCATGTCTAGCATATTCTTAATCTATAAGTCTAAAACCCCATAGATTTAACCCCAACACTCTCCAGTGCTCTCCAAAACACAAAACCTTCATTTTCCAACATCCGGGGACATCTAGGAATCACGCCAATTTTTGCAAACTGAAATTCAAGTTTATCTTTCCTTCATGTTCTTTCCTATATGGGCAAAATCAAAGAGGAATCTAAACTAAATGTTCCCTACTTAACATTGTCTGCTCAAGTTAAAGACGCGGTTTTTTTATTCCAAGACAAATTGGATCTGTTTTAGTTCATTTGCAATCATCCTCATGAGTTGTCAGAGCAACAATTCAGAGCTAATAGGGACTAAGAGATTTAATACCATGAAGCAAAGTCCGTTTTAGATTTTACCACCTAAGAACACTGATGGATAAGATTCATCACAGCTAAGGTTCAAGTAATCTCTTTAATGTCCAACTTTATGTCCTCAATACCAAGAAAAATGCATGCTAAGTAGAATATTTATCTTAGCTTAGTACAAGTGGTATCTTACCTGGGCTCCTTGACATGGCTGAAACTGGCTGGGAGCTAACAAGTCAGGTCATGTACTCCTGAAAACTGTATTTCAACACAGGGATTTGCAACAATTTGTTACTTTGGGAGAGGGATTCAAAAGTTCTTTAGGTTCACAAACAATGGCATCGTGTTTTTCTCTGTTGAAAAATATATCTTCAGAGAATTTCCCTCATCGGTATATACTCAGTATGTTGGATGAATATTAATGTTCCAACATTACAAGCAGCCTTTATTCTATGCCTAAAAGGGTTATGGTTTTGAGTGGAAAATGGAACAGGGTAATTAATTATCTTTTTCAACTTAGATAAACATCTTTCTGTGCTGTTGGTCTTTAGATCTGCTAACACCACCCCACATCCTCACCTCCAAACAGTTTTTCTTCATCATTTCAATAGCCACATTCTACCAAGAGAACATAAATTAGTATGCATAGATAAAGGAAGACAAATTAGTGTAGCCAAAAGAAAATAGATTAAAAACCTAGATGGGAGGATTGGAGATGAAATACATTTTGTCCTACTACCTTGTATTTGTGTGATTTTGCATTCTCTCTTTAATTCTCCATATACACATAGTCCACCTCTTCTTCTTTTTTTTTAATTTCTATTTATTTTCGAGAGACAGAGTACAAGTGGGGGAGGGGCAGAGAGAGAGAGGGAGACACAGGATCTGAAGCAGGCTCCAGGCTCTGAGCTATCAGCACAGAGCCCGATGCGGGGCTCGAACCCACGAACTAGGGGATCACGACCTGAGCCAAAGTCAGAGGCTTAAACGACTGAGCCACCCAGGCACCCCTATACATCGTCCATCTCTAAGGACAATAATGAAAACTATTCTCCCACACCAATTTTTTCTAATACTGTAGCACCAATCCAATACATTGAATAATTGAGCTAAGACTTTCATTGTTTACCAGTACACTTAATTCTCTTGACATAAAGATTGGCCACAGAGTTTCACTTTCTAGTTTCCCTAGTTTATCTTCTAAATCTAAGCAGTTACTAGAAAGGGAAGGAATGGTTAAGAAAAGCCAGACAATAAAGAACAACTTAAGAAAGTAACAGGTGAGGCCTTTAGGAGCCTTAGATCAGTGCTATCCAATAAAAGATGTGAACTACATATGTAATTTTAAGATTTCTAGCAGCTACACTAAAGTAAAAAGAAACACGTAAAATTAATTTTAATGATATATTATTAACCAAATATCTCCCCCAAATAAATCCAAATGTTATCACTCCAACAGGTAATCAATATAAAAAATTAATGAAGTATCTTACATTCTTGTTAATGTATGTACTCAAAATCCAGTGTATATTTGATGCTTACAATACATCTCAATTCAGACTAGCCGTGTTTCCGGCGTTCAGGAACTACATGTGGCTAATGGCTGCATTGCCGTTTTAGACAAAGAATCAAGAACCAAAAAGAGGGGTACTTGAGTGGCTCAGTCAGTTAAGCATCCGACTCAGGTCATGATCTCACAGTTCGTGAGTTCAAGCCCTGCGTCCAGCTCTGTGCTGACAGCTCAGAGCCTGGAGCCTGTTTCAGATTTTGTGTCTCCCTCTCTCTCTGCTTCTCCCCTGTTCGTTCTCTATCTCTCAGAAATAAATAAACATTAAAAAATAAATAAATAAAAAGAAATTACTGAAAGTAAAGCAATAGGCAGCTATCAGAGCTATGCAAACCAAGAGGCGTGGAATCCTCAAGTAGGAATCTGACTCATTTTTCAAATGTACTACATTTTCCAGTGGAGAATGCTGCTTGATTTTGAGTTTTGTAATTTGGGCCAGATTACAGAAGAGGGAGCTATGGGCTGAAGGGTTGTGAGTGCCTGGGCATTTTTGGTATCGTGGGCAGTTTGATGGTATTTTTTCAATCTCTGTGACTTACTTCTTTTATAACCGAAAGTTTGTACCTCTTCATACCCTTCACTTTTTAACAGCTTGACATTTTAACTATATTCATCAGGCAACCTTCTGATCCTAACTTGACTTCTCACGTAAACTTTACTTTAGAAAAACGACATGTTCTCCAGGTAATGCATCACGGCCAAATCAGCTCTGAATAAAATTATTAAATTAGTAATTAGTCAAGGTTGACAGTCAAGATACAGAGTGAGGTTCTTAGCTCAAAAGAATCAGCTGATATATCGCCTTACCCATCAGCCCACTGAGAGATGTCATTTTGTACTGTGTATTCACATGACATCGCTAGATAACTCACAATAAAATATCGAACCGTGGCCTTTTAAATCAACAATCAAAATAAAATAAAAAACAACCAAGAATGTTGGAACTGATTTTCCCCAAATAGGTTTTCATTATCCTTTTTCCCAAACAATTCTGCAGGATGTTGAGACGTATTTATTGAAAAACAATCCATGCTAATTATATTTTTCATCTAAAATATACTTTTAAATGTATGTGAGAAAAGCACAATGCTCCTTTATATAGTTGTTTGTATAATTAGATAATTGCCTTTAGGAAATAGCGTGCCTACCTGGAAACACCAGGATTCATGAAAGCGTGATAATGGATTTGCATATGGAAATGAGGCAGCTACTGATCTGATGTATGTTGTCTATTCAAAAATCATTGCTTTATGCTTGTCTTATTATTTCAATATGTATTTGTCATATTTTTCACTTAGTAAATTATTTTATCTGCTTTGGAAATTGTTCTGATTTTAAGTTTAAAGTACACATGAAACTAAAATTTAAATAAAAAATTGGGGGCACCTGGGTGGCTCAGTCGGTTAAGCATCTGACTTCAGCTCAGGTCATGATCCTGTTCTCTTGATCAGTGACCACGTGCTGCTGACCAGTGCTGTGTGTGTGTGTGTGTGTGTGTGTGTGTGTGTGTGTGTGTGTGTGTATCGTGGTTTGTGGGTTGGAACCCCACATAGGGCTCTGTGCTGACAGCTCAGAGCCTAGAGCCTGACTTGGATTCTGTGTCTCGCTCTCTCTCTCTTCCCCTCCCCCACTCACGCTCTGTCTCTCCTTTGAAAAAAAATAAACATTAAAAAAATTAAATAAATAATAAACATTAAAAATTTTTAATAAAAATTTGAAATAAATAAATAAAATAATTTTTAAAAGTAGGTATGAGTGAAGTCTTTATCATTTCTTACAGCAATTAACTCATGTATGGAATTACATGGGGTTTATTTTATTTGAGAGAGAGAGAGAGAGCATGAGCAGGGGAGAGAGGGGCAGAGGGTGAGAGAGAGAATCTTAAGCAGGCTCCATGCTCAGCACAGAGCCCAAAGTTAGACCCTATCCCATGAGATCGTGGGATCATGATCATGCCTGACATCATGACCTGAGCTGAAATCAAGAGTCAGATGTTCCCCCCAGCCACCCCTGGACTTACATTTCACTGTCTACGTGTGGTAGGCTGAATAACGGTCCCAAAGATGTTCACATCATAATCGCCAGAACCTATAGATATTTCACCTGGTATGGCAAAATGGATTTTGCTGATGTGGTTAAATTAAAGCTGTTGAGAAATATCTAATTATCATGGCTTATCTGGGTAAAACCTAATCATATGGGTCCTTATAAGAGGGAAGCAGAAAAGTCAGAGTCAGAGAAGGAGGTATAACAATGGAGGCAGAGGTCAGAATGACATGAGAAAGATTCCATAAACCTAGGAATAGAGGAAGACTCTGAAAGCTAAAAAAGGCAAGAAAAATAATTCTCCCCTAGAACCTCCAGAAGGAATGCAGCCTTGCCAACCCATTTTAGACTTCTGATCTCCAGAACTATAAGATAATAATAAATTTATGTTGTTTTGGTCACTCAGTCTCTGGTCATTTATAACAGCAGAAACTCATACACTATGCTGATCTGAGTACATATTACTATCAGTACATTATAATTTAATTTTTTTAAATTTTCTAATGTCTATTTATTTTGACATTTTGAGAGAGAGAGAGAGAGAGAGGAAGGAGCAGAGAGAAAGGGAGACAGAAGATCCTAAGCAGGCTCTGTGTTGACAGTAGAGAGCCTGATGTGGGGCTTGAACTTATGAACTGTGAGATCACGACCTGAGCTGAAGTCAGATGCTCAACCAACTAAGCCATTCAGGCACCCCTAGTACATTATGATTTTAAAAGTGTTCATTGTAAAATAAGTTTGGAGATGGACAAGAGTCCATATTACAGTGTTTCTATAACAGTAACTGGACAATCATAAGAACTAACATCATTAAACTCTTAATAACTACTTACTGGTGGTAGTAACTGTAAATCCAGCTACAAATCTTTTTTTTTTTTTTTTAGTAATCTCCACACCCAACTTGGGGCTTGAACTCACAACCTCAAGATCAAGAGTCACATGCTCTACCGACTGAGCCAGCCAGGTGCCCCTAGTCACAAATCTTTACAATGAGTAATGTATGTTGACCAACAATGAAAAATGTATATTAATCCCCTGCTAAAGGCTTGGTATTGCACTAGACACAGGGGATATAGCAGTCAGCAAGGCAGAGTGGTCCCTTCCCTTGTAGAGGTAACCATCTAGCAGGGGAGGCAGACATATACACTTAATTAGAATCATGGTAGGTGTTATGAGAATATACTATAGGGAATGGACGTAACCCAGTCTGGGTGTCATACAGGAGTCATCTAAGAATGATGTTTAAGCTGAGATATAAAAAATGACTTGGGGGGCTCCTGGGTTGGCTCAGTTGGTTGGGCCTCCAAGTTTGGCTTGGGTCATGATCTCACAGCTTGTGGGTTCAAGCACTGCATTGGGCTCTGTGCTGACAGCTCAGAGCCTGGAGCCTGCTTTGGATTCTGTATGTGTGTGTGTGTCTCTCTCTGCCCCTCCCCTGCTCGCAGTCTGTCTGTCTCTCTCAAAAATAAATAATAAAACATTAAAAATAAATATAAATAAATAAAAGATGACTTGGAACTGGCCAAGAGGGAAGAGGAGGGAGGGGAAAAGAATGTGTCAGAGAACCAGAACACCACATGCAAAGCCCCAAAGGCAGTCAAGAATTCAAGGCACTTGAGGGGCGCCTGGGTGGCTTAGTCGGTTAAGCGTCCGACTTTCGCTTAGGTCATGATCTCACGTTCGTGGGTTCGAGCCCCACGTCGGGCTCTGTGCTGACTGCCGGCTCAGAGCCTGGAGCCTGTGTCAGTCTGTGACTCCCTCTCTCTCTGACCTTCCCCTGCTCACGCTGTCTTTCTCTCTCTCTAGAAATAAATAAAAACCTTAAAAAAAAATTTTAAAAATCTAATTTGGTAAATTTTAATTATTGTTTCATTATTTTGACATACTATGCTATTAATTTGTAATGATAATTTAGTCAGAACTNGTCAGTCTGTGACTCCCTCTCTCTCTGACCCTCCCCTGCTCATGCTGTCTCTCTCTCTCTCTCCTAGAAATAATAAATTAAAAAAAAAAAATTAAAAAAAAAAAGAATTCAAGGCACTTGAAGAACTAAAAATAAAAAGAGTAAAGACTTCTCAATTCAAGACAGAGGAGAGCTTCCCTGTACCACGTCTCTCAAAAAAATAACAAAGAGGAAAAGGAAAAAATAGGTTTCATTTTTATTGAACTGGCAGTCACCCCAAACCGCGATGCATGAAAATAGAAAATGGATTGAGGATAGTGAGGGACTTAGCAGACACCAAGAAGGTCAAGCCTAAGTGATTGGAGAAGAAGAAACCAAGGAGAAGCAAGGCAGGTCACCCTGAAAAACCCTGGAAAGACTCAAGAGTTAGAAGTAGGTAAAGTGCAGAAGGAAGTCGGAAAAGTGGAGATGGGAGGAGTGTAGTGCTGAAAAGGGAGATTTGTTGGAAAATTTGTTTAATAAGTGGACAGATCCCCACATCTTCACTCCACCTGGTATAATCAGGCTACTATATAAGAGTTCTGAGATGTGGCAACACTAGACATAGATCAGAGTAAGAGGGAGATATCTTCCTGAAAAGAGAGAAATTAAGTCTGAAACTGAAAATGAGACACCCAGTCTGCTTCTTCTGCTCACAGACCTTCATAGCCAAGTTCTAATGTCTAGCAAAGAATAAAGGATGCAAAAAATGAACCACACCAGAAAAAAGAGCCACAGATACTGACATTTGGGGGTTCCCAAAGAAAAAGCCTTTAATTGACAAGACTCAAACACACTCTTGGGGCCTCCAATCAGCTTTTAGGACTTCACCCTTACTCTATGGATGGACAAAAGTCACCAGATACCAGAGAAAAACGTTCAACATGAGAAAGTAAAAAACCTCCAATATGTAAGAGTCAGGAAAAGGAATCACAAGAAACAGAGACAATACTAGGAGCCTAAAAAATACTTCCAAGATATTATAGTGTCATCAGAAAAATATTGTATCCAGGAAACAGGAACAAGATACTAAAAGAAGAAATAGTCTAAGAGCAAGAAAGAATAATTGAAAATTATAAATTTTAAAATGAATTAAAATTCAGTAAAAATCATATATTGAAAAGATAAAGACAAAGAAATCCTCTGAAATTGAATGATCTTGGAAATTGTTACAAGTCAGAAAAAGTCATGTGAGCATTCTACAAAATAACGGGTGATCTTTTTAAAAAAATAGTATTATAGGGAGTTAAAATGGTAGGCAGGTGGGGAACATTGTTCTAAATTTTAAAAGGCTAAGGAAATAAAACAACCAAGTGCATTGTGTGAACTTTGGATTCTGGCTTTTTTAAAAAAAGAAAGACTGCTATTTTTAAAAAAAAAGGTGTTGAGGAGTTATTGTTACTTTTCCTGGCATGATAAAGCTATTACAAGCATAGAGATTGCCCTTATTTTTATTTCTTTATTGCCCTTATTTTTAAGTTATGTTTTATTTTATTTTATTTTTGTTAAAAACAAGTTTTTTGTTAACATTTATTATTGAGAAACAGAGAGACAGAGCATGAGCATGGGAGGGGCAGAGAGTGGGAGAGACACAGCATCCGAAGCAGGCTCCAGGCTCTGAGCTGTCAGCACAGAGTCTGATGTGGGGCTTGAACCCACTAGCGGTGACATCATGACCTGAGCCGAAGTCGGACACTCTGCCGACTGAGTCCCCCCAGGCGTCCCAGGAGTTACATTTTAAAATATTTGGGGGTGAAATGTCATGTTGTCTGTCACTTTCAAATAGGTCAGCAAAATAGTTACATGAATAAAACAAATATGAGGAAATGCTGACAATTGTTTAACGTAAATAGTGGTTATACTTGTGTG